TTGGCATTCTATCCGTGATCTACACTTATGCAAGTTGTCCTATGCATGTTGGGCAAATTATTTGTCATTGTGTAATGGATGTATTCCACAGACAGCAGCAGAAGCAGAGTTCCACATATAGCAACACTGTGCACTGCAGCTGTGCATTATTTTACATTTCACACTGTGGTTGCACATTGCTAATTGTGCACCACACATTGTGCATTGCATAATGGCAACCAGTCATTGACACGTATTTCACAGTGCCTGGGGGTTGTACAGTGCTGGTGCAGTGTATCTTCACATAAGGATATTTACACTGTGCTGCGGGGATGTTGAATTGCAGCCTTAAACAATTAATTAAATTGTGACTTGCCCACAGCCACCCAGTGGGTTGCCATGGGCAAGTGGGGATTCGAACCCATGTCTCCAGAGTCACAGGCCAATGTTCAGACTACTACACCAATACGGCCAACTTTGGTCTTGCCTCCTTTTTACTTTGGCTCCACCTATGGATGACTCCATTCGTTCCCAACCCCAGTGTTGAGAGATTTTCTCCAAGGAAATAAGAATTTGTTTGTGGAATAGCTCACACCATTGAAATAGTTGGGATAATCTATTATAGACAAGTTGGTGGATATGCTTTCTATGGCCCCTGTACATAAAAAATAAAAACAAAAAAATCTGGAAAGGGCAATTTCATAACTCTTCCTACAGTGAGAAATAGACAACTAGGATACTGGGAGGGAGCTTTGACCATGGGACCTGAACTATGTATTGCTTTTGTTTTGTGTCACAATTAAAAAAAAATCCTGATGGACAAATTCTCAGCTGTTCAAAATTAGTACTTCCTTTAAATGATGGCAGCTTGCAAAAGGTTAGGATGTGGCCCCCAAATTCATTTTTGTTGTGAATTCATCATACTTGCAGATGTTTGTAGTTGCCATAACACAAGTTCATCATTGTAATTTAAATGCAGGATACAGGAAGTGAAGCCAGATTGCAGAAGAAATAAAATTCCTTTTTCTTTTGGAGCTTCCAATGCAAAGCAGTTAGTCTGGGTGGTTAAATGTGTCAGGAAGTACAAAGGAAAAATAAGTCAGGGAAAAGAAATGGAGGATTTTTTTGGGGGGGAGGGGGGAATAAAAATACTTATATTTTCCTTCAGGTCAGAGCTCATAGTTTCCTTGTTTACAGTTCGGAAACCTTTCCTCAGTTTATTCTTACAGTTTCAATATTACATTATCAAAGGCCTGGGAGATTTTAAGGCAGGGCTGAATTTTCCCAGAGTAAACACATTTACTCCTATTAGAGTCGCAACAATTTGAACAGCCTCTGTTCTTGCAGCTTGCTCTGCATTCAACAGCAATATTTACCCCTATGTTTTAGAAAAAAAAATCATCTGCTGATTTAGGTAGTAGTCTTCAAAATAACACCAAATATTTGAAAAATAAGAAACCAGAAGCAGGTTCCATAATTTAGGGAGTATATATCATGTGGTATGGGTGAAGAATATTTGGAATTTGATTTGGGTGACATACAATGAATGGCTGGAATCCTGTTTGGACACTATACTTGTGAAAAAATAATTGTGCAATTGGTTGTGTCTTGTCAGTGATTGTGTGAGTGTGGCCACTAGTGCAGTCAGTCATTCGACAAGCACACATGTTGCCCTCTCTCTCACTTTTGGGCCCTTATCACACAAGGCCATTAAAACGGCAGGATAATGTGATAACAATGTCTTCATTCCCCCTCCCGCATGACGTCGCCACAATTGTGTGGTTGAATTGTGGGAGACCATAGTAAAAGCAAGTCTTTTTTCCTCACAGGAAAAATCTGTGAGTAACCTCCTTTAGCACTGCTATCTCATATGATTTGCAGTTTGAAAGTTCAATAGTGTTTTCCTGTCGATTTTGCCCTGTTGGTGGTAAACAGGAGGAAATTGAGATCCAGCCACTTTCCAGAGTCCTGATCTGTTATTGCAATGCTTCTCTCTCTCTCTTTCACACATGCACACACACACACATCCCTTCTTCCCAGGGAATGGAGGGCAGGGGAGGGAAATAAGGAGAACCGAAGTAGCAAAGACAGTGCAATACAGGAGATTATCATGCTCTGTTTAAAGCATCTTATTCCCATTGGGATAGAGGTATGTTTAATTTTAAAAACAGGTCTGATTGTATTCACTCATGACTGGGCAAATGCAGTCCATATACAGCCCAGATGCCAACCAGGCTTATTCTGCAGCTTTTCAAGGACAGGAAAATCCTATTCTTGAAAAACTGCAGAATAAGCCTGGCTGGCATTCAGGCTGTATACAAGCTGCATTTTGCCCAGCCATGGGTGAATGCGATAAAATCTGTTTTAAAAATTAAATGTGCCTCTATCCTGTTGGGGATAAGGCACTTTAAATGGAAAGCGATAATCCCTGAAGTTTGGGTGCCAACAGGTGCTCTAATTCCAGATTGGGCCTGAAGGTGCAAGAAGTAAGAATGCTATCCCAATCTTTGCAGACCATGGACTTTCAGGAGTAGAAGGCCCTTAGTTGGTGGGGAGCTAATCAGTCATTACACAAGGGATGAGATTAAGGCCTTGACCCCTGTTGAACAATCAGTTGTGCAATTGTAGGTCTCAGTACAATGACACTGGTTTATTTCCCCCCCAGTTTATTACAAGTAGACAAAGTGAGGTCTGTGGTTGCACATGGCCCTATGGCCATGTTTGCGCCACCAAGAATCATCCAGCACTTCAAGGATTTTTGTAAATATTTTTACTAAAAAATGCCCTCCACACAACCTCTAGTTGACTTTCTGCTTTACTTTTTTTTTTTTTTTTAAAAAATAGCTTCTCCTACTTCTAAAGCAGCATTTAACATGGGAAAGCTGCCCCCATGTCCCCTACAAGCTAAGCGGGGCATCTTTAGGAAAAAAAAAACATCTTTTCAATAAAATGAAAAAGGGATGCAGAAGGCAGGTTATGGGCCTTTCAGGTCTCATGGAGGGCAATGTAGCCCTCAATCCCTGGCTGCTGTAGTTTTTCTCTCAAGAGAAGAGACTTTGGGTTTTACTCCATGAATCCCATTCTCACAGCAATCACTTTGAGGGGAAAATGGAAACATACC